AGGGGACCAATGAAATCCATCGAGATGGACTGCCAACGACCCTCAGGTATGGGTAGGGGCTGAAGTAACCCATATGGAAGGTGGTTCGCATTGTTCACCTCCTAGCAGGTAGGACACTCCTGAATGTAGGCTTTGACAAAGTCGTTAAACTTCGGCCAGATGTATAGGCGGCAGACACAAGCCAACGTCTTGTGGAAACCCATATGACCGGCAGCTGCCTGGACCAGGTCATGGAACTCTGCTACAACCTGGACGTGGAGCTGTCTGGTAAAGGGAACGCAGATACGTGGTTCTAGCTGACCAGATCTTCCATGCCAGTACACAAGGTCGTTCTTCCCGAGGGAGTAGGAAGGAACGGTCTTGCCACTCCGTAGTGTCGCGTGGATGACGCGATAATCGGGGCAGTGGCGGTACTAAGTGTGATACGCGTCGATCACCGACTGATCAATAGTGGTGATGGAGATGGAAGCAAGGTGGATGGGTTCCTGATTGTGATCAGGACGGCGGGACAAGGCATCGGCGACGTGGTTCGTTTCACCCTTGATGGGCTGAGTGGTGAAACAAAACTCGGACAAGTCACGCCACCAGTGTGCCTGTCGAGGGAAAAACTTAGGCTTCGTGAGGAAAGCCTGGACAACTAAGTTGTGCGTGCGCACCGTGAAGGGCGTCCCGTGCAGATAATGACGCCAATGACGGGTAACATAAACTACTTCGAGAACCTCACGTTCATCGGCAGTGTAGTTTATCTCGGCAGGCAGTAGCTGACGGGAGTAGAAAGCGATCGGGCAATCCCCAGCACGAGCCTCGACAGTCCCATCCTCTGCGATGGTCGGGGAGTAAGTAACAGGAGGACTGTCAGTGGAGGGAAGTGGTGGGAGAGTGAGCGTCAGTCGAGAAGCAGTGTCAGCAGGAAGGGGGGGGAGAGGAGGGACATGGGGGTAAGGTGAATCTGGAGGAGAGGGAAACACCTTAGAAAGAACAGCTCCTACTGCAAAATCTGACGCATCGGTGGTAACGATAAGGGGACGATCAAAATCGGGAAGGCGAAGAACCGGCGCACAAGTCACCGCCTTCTTGAGGGCGGGAAAGGCGTCCTCACACAGGGGTGTCCAAAACCACGACGGGTTCTTCCGGAGGAGGGTAGAGGTAAGGACGTAGAAATACCTAACGTATCCCTGGATAAAATTACTATAGTACCTGGTGAGGCCTAGGAAACTGCGAAGCTGCTTGGCAGATGTGGGGACGGGCCACTCTGCAATAGCAGTGATCTTCGCGTCGTCCATGTGGAGACCCTGCTCAGACACATGGTGTCCTAGGAAGTTCACTTTGCGCTGGGCAAAGTGGCACTTACTGACCTTGGCATAGAAACCATGCTTGCGTAAGCATTGTAGGACATCGTGGAGGTGTCTGAGATGGTCTTCTAAGGTACAACTGTAGACCAAGATGTCGTCCAGGTATACGAGAACGTATTCTTCAAGGTCCTGGATGTCCCTGAAGATGTCGTTCATCGCCGTCTGGAAGGTGGCGGGGGCATTGGTGAGGCCGAATGGCATCACCGTGAACTCGTAGTGGCCGACGCACGACCGAAAGGTGGTCTTTGGTTGTTTCTCTGTGGCAACGCGGATCTGGTGGTAACCGCTACGAAGATTGATCTTCGTGAAGAAGCGGTTGCCTGCCAGACAATCAAACAGCTCATCCGCGCGAGGCATGGGATAGTTGTTCTTAACCGTGTAACGGTTAAGGCCGTGATAGTCGATGCAGAGGCGAAGAGTTCCGTCCGCTTTGCGAGCAAAGAGGACAGGTGCACCCCAAGGGGAGTTACTGGGTTTAATGAAACCCAATCGAAGGAGCTCCTCAAGCTGACACTTGAGTTCCGTCGCCTCTGGGATCGAAAGTCGGTACGGTGCCTGATTGTGAACACGATAATCAGGCACGAGCTGGATAAAATGCTCAACACCGCGCATCGGGGGAATCCCGTTGTATGAAAAATACGGGGGAAAAACGTCGCGGTACTCTCGAATCAGGTCGCGAACGACCGATTCTAAGTCTGTCGTGAACCGTGTGAGTTCCTCAGCGTCTGCATCGGCACGAGACGTATGTGTGGACTCGACAGTCGACGGTGCCGAGGCCTGGGACGTGGAGGGGGTATCCGCAGGCTGACGGGTGGACATAGAGATGGGAGCCGCGAAGATGGAGGAAGGGTCAGGGGGATCGGGCTCCAGAGAGATGAGCTCAACCTCGGGACAAAGTGGATCATAGCGAAGAAGATCCATGACGTTTACTGAGTAGAACGTAACGTCCTCCTGTCGTATGAAGTGAGCAAACTGACGAGGGAAAGTGAACGCGATGTCGGGGTGGGACCCTGAAGGGACGAGGGTCCTGGGGAGGTAGGTCGGGCAGGGTGTCGCCTGTGGTTCTAATGAACGGGGCGCGATGAGTCTGACCACACTTCGTTTTGAGAACGAGTGTCTCGGTCGCCCATTCGGCCTCTGTGCCACGGAACCGGCGAGACCAGGGAGTGCCAAGGATAAAGTCGTACCCGGTCTCCAGCACGTCAAAGTATGCAGAGGAATGGTAGCGCCTAGGCGTCTGGGTACTATCCGATGGCTGGAGGGTGAGGGAGAAGTGGAGGTCGGGGACCGTCTAATCGAAGAAGCGTTGCGTCTTGTTATCCTCGAGGGTAACGGAGATAGGAGAGCGAGACCCAGAGGTAGTTAGGCGAGCTTCCTCAACCACTCGAGGGTGAACGAAATCTCCCTGCGAGCCAGAGTCTCATAAAGCGCGGTACACCCTCGTAGATGTCCCTAGGCGAATAGCGATGATGGGTAGGGTGCAATCAGGGTCAGAGAGCAGAGCGAGAAAACGACGCAAGACGTTGATGTGTCTCGTGGGTCGCTCCTGACGAGCCTGCAGAATGCTCAAGTCCAGAAGAGATGACACAACGTCATCGCGAGTCGCCAGCTGAGCGCTACAACGGGCTGTGCGAATGGCGCGACGCGTCGAAAGTCTCGGGGGAGAAGCGCTAGATGCGGCGGTCTGTTGGGAGGCAGACAATACCTCGATAAACGACGGGGCAGAGAGAACTGCGTCTATCATGTCCTGAGGATCCTCTGGTGGGGTAGCCAAAGGGGCAAACCGCGACTCGGTGGTCATGAAGCCGGCTACGTGGGAGGCCTCAGGGGTACACTGCACCGTGGCTAGCTGGCTGGGGCTGGCCGGGCGGGGCCGGGGGGGGACTGAGATCGACGCTGACGAGAAATGTCAGCGTAGTACCGATCGAGGGCGGTGTGGTATGGACACCGTGAGGAGGTGTGTCCATCCTGGCGGCAACGAAGGCAGCCTCGTCGGGCCTCGAGGGCGGCACGCTCCCCGGGGGATAGAGCTCTGCGAGGAGGGACGAAACCCTGCGGGAGGTCTATCTGAGGAACTGTGGGTGTGCGGGCGCCAACCTGTGCAACCCGACTGCGTGCACGACCCACGACAGATATGGTCATCTGCAAGCGCTCGGCCATTGGGACAGTGTCGTCATCCAAGTGGTACTGGATGACGTCCCAAAGCTCGATGTCCTCGGGGGCGTCCCCAATGGCAGGATCGAGCTCGGCTGAGGCGTCCTCTCCATACTCGAGAGAACTGAGTGCCGAGCGAATGGGGCTCCAGGTCGAGCCGGGCGACGAAAACGACCAGCAAACGAGGAGCGGCCTCGGGTGGTACCCCGAGATTGGGAGGTGGCGGCTGGCCGCGGAGAGGATGGGGCAACGGAGAAGCGACTGCACATCCTCTGGTACTGACGCGCAGCCTCGTATGCCTGCTCCGCGGAAGAGAATGATCGCCTCCATAGCTCTAGGCGGTAATCAGTTGGCAGGCTGACAAGGAGCCGGTCGGTGAGTGTAACCTCCGGTAGGAACGTCTTGTCACAAACAAGGCGAGCGTCCTGAAACACCCGAATGTGACTCTCCAGGTCGGCCGGTACAGAGGACCCAGACCATCTGGTCTGGGTGTTGCGGTCTAGGCGTCGGTGACGTAAGGACGAGCGCCGAAACGGTCCTGAAGGAAGGTCGCGGAGTTGGCCAGAGTGGGGATCTCACCCACGCGGAGGCACTGGGTATAATGATCCTCCCACGCAGTGGAAGGGCTACCTCGCAATTTGGTTGCGAGCACATCGCACCACAACTCCAGACGGGTGGTCGTCATAGAGAGTGTGCGCGTTGCTATCTGCAACCAGCGAGAGACACGGGATGTGCCATCATACTCGGGAATGTCCGTGGTGCGCACAAGAGGATGTCCACTGTGCTGATGGCGGGGGGAGAGAGATCGAGGCGAGTGCACTGCGGCAGCATAAGTGGAGGCCGCTGCAGGGGCAGAGGTGGGGGAAGGCTGTGGGCTGTGGCCGCTGGCGGTGGACCAGCAAACAAGGAGGCAACGACCGCGGGCAGCTGTCCCGGAATAGCCAGGTAGGAGGGAAGAGGCTGAGGAGCAGGTCGAGGGAAACGAGTCTGCGTCATGGGGACCGAAGCGGTGGTAGAGGAAGAAGGGTGGGCAGCCTGTGAGGGGTGAGGCTGTCTCAGAGCGAGAATCTCCGCCTGAGCCTGCGCAATGGTGGCCTGTAAAGTGGCCACTCGCTGGGTGCGCGGGGTCAAAGGTGGAGGGGGCGGAGCGGGTCTCCCAGTGGGAGGAGGAATCCCAGCCTGGGCGGTACCCTGTTGTGGGGGCGGGGGGACAAAGGCAGGAAGAAGAGGGCGGAGCCGTATTGCCGCGACCGGTGCGGGAAACTGGGAAGCAACACCGGTGTGGGTCGATGAAACTGCTGGGCCAGAAGGCGGTACCTGGACCTCAGCACCTACGGCAGTAGTAGAAACGGTAGGGGCGACCGTGGCCGGGAGAACTGCCGCAACAGACGGGGTGGTCAGAGCGGCAGCAGCACTCGCCACTGTTGCGGGGGAGTATTGGGCCTGGCCCGAAGAGGAAGGGGAACCACGATGTCTCCGACTCTGGAAACGTGGGGAGCCGGACTCGGAGCCGGTAGGGGATGGGGTATGGGAGCGGTGGGGAGAGTGATGAGGAGAGCCCTTGAGGCGGTTGACGTCGAGGGCAAGCGCATTGATTTGCGCTTGCAACGGTCCAAACGTACTAAGTTGCGTCTGGATCGTTACGAGGGTGGCATGAAGGTCCATCGTGTCCGCATGGGCCTGACCCTGACCCGCTGTTTGAATGCTCACCTGGGAGGTGGACGGCGCCGTGGTGATCTCCTCAAAGGAACTCCCTTCCATGGCCAGGAGGGAAAGGGAGGTAGAGCTCACGGGGGTGTGTGGGGAGAGGGGCCCGCCGGTAAGAGGAAGGGGACCGCGGGAGCGGAGTGAGTATGTGTGAGTCGGCTCACCTCGGATTTGGCGGGTCGCACGTGAGAAGAACGCGCCAAACCGCTCGAGGGGGGGGGAACCGTTCGGGTCCAGGGTGCCCGACGAGAGGAGGCGGGAGAGTAGGGGGTTTAGAAGAACCCCAAACCCTAGGAAAACCCTAAGAAAACCCTAACCAGAGCTTAGGTGGTTAGGGAAGGGTAGCGGCGACCTAATCAAGAAAAAAAAAAATATGGAGGGGAGGGGGAGAGAAAATAAAATAAACAATAAAATTTCGAGATAAAAATAAAATAAAAGAATAAATAGAAATAAATAAATAAATAAAATATAAAGATTGAGGAGAGAGAGAATATTTATTTTTTTGAAATTTTCGGTAGCATTTTTCCACCCCGCATGGGGTCAAAAATGTGCGAAGAGGAAGGAAAGTGCAAGAGGGACACACTAACTTTCAAAATGCCGCAAATTAAAATTTTCAAAAAAATAAATAAATAAATAAGTAGGTGGATGAGAGTGAAGAAAAGCTAAGTTTTGGAATTTATTTTTATTTCATTTTATTTTTTCAAAAATTTCGGCAGCATTTCGTTACGCCCATGGGGTCCAAGTGTGCCGTCAAGAAAAAGACTAAGTAAAATAAGAAGATTTGCCAGCACTTCGTTACCCCCAAGGGGTCAAGATGTGCTGAAAAAGACTAAGTATGAAGAAAACGGAAAATTTCGGCAGCACTTCGTTAACCCCACGGGGCCAAGATGTGTGCCGAAAGCAAGAATGGCTAAGTCCTAATCAGATTTTTGGGTGCCGCAGAAAATTTCGAATTTTCAGAATAAATAAAAATAAATCAGAAAATAAGAATAGAGGTAGGGAATAAGATGATTCAGATTTTTTGAGGAAAAAAGAAATTTTGCATCAAAGAGAAAAGAAAAGAAGGAAAAAAAGAAAAATTCGAAGTTGGGTGTGGGGGGGGAATGGAGAAGTGATGAAGAAAGAGAGAAAGAAGTGAGAAGAGAAAGAAAAAGGTAAGGTGGGGGATGGGTGAGATGATGGGATTGTAGTTGGGGGAGGGAAGGAGGAGAAGAGAGTGGTAGAATGGAAGAGAAGGATATGAAAATGGTGGAGAGGAGTAGATAAGATTAGTGAGAAATGGTGAGTGGGGTGGAGAGGACAGAAAAAGGTTGTGGAAGATGGGTGGAGAGGGAGGTAGGGGTAGAGTGTAGTGGTAGGGGGGAAAAGATGATTAGATGATGGGTGGAAAAAGAGAAAAGAGGTTGGGGGAGAGTGGATTAGTGGCAGGATGGTGATACCAGGCTCTTGGGTGGCCAAGAGCAAAGTTCTACCAAGATCCACAGGATCTTGGCTTCAAGATGCTGCTGGTGTGATGCCACAGCAGTAATGATGATGATGGAGGGTTGGCTGAGATCTTGATCAGCCACCCTACTGCCACAGTCTCACAGCCCCCTAGCCAGGGGGAGATCTTGAACTGTTGCCAAACTGCTGCTGCAACAGTGTAGAGATAGTGAAAAGAGAAGAAAAAAAATATATATATATATATCGTCAAATAGAACTGCCCGGTAAACCGTAGGCAGAGAGGGAGAAGAGGACATATATGTCTGTGGCGCAGCCCCCTAGCCAGGGGGGTCTTCAACAGGTATCCACGTGGCAGTGCAGATTGCCACGTCTGCAGGCACCAGCAGCCACGGCATG